CTTGTTCCATCCTTGCAACAGTCCTGTGAGGTAGGGTTAGGCTGACAGATTATTATTAGTTTTATATTTATATGCTCAGTAGCCAAAGCTCTCTGGATGGATACAATACCACAGTTGACCAAGGCATGGACTGAGGTGCTGAATAGGTACCTACATGTCACCGCCTATGGAAGAGGGGCATATCCTCCAGTCCACTGAGCAGCTCTTGGGGTTCCTCCAGGGGGTGGGGCTTGCACTCCAAGCCACGCCCTCTGGAGAAAGCCACTCAGAGAGCCCTGGGGGTTCCCTAACTGATCACACCAACAATGGGCCCCTGCCACAACTCTGCACTGAAGGGAACAGTGGGGATGCCAGACAACAGGGTTGGGACATGCAAGGAGAGGGAGGGGCTCTTCTCCTCACATGGGGGAGTCCACCCCGTCACAGCAAAGCAGAAAGGGGGTAACATCTGGGGCAGGGCCATGCATGGGCTGGAAGACAATACAGCCCCCCACCCCAAAGCAGTTCTGCACCCCAACATGCTGCTTTTCCTCTAGCAACAATATGCTCATGACCCGGCTGCATGTAAGAAGGTAAGAGGACTTGAAAACATCCTTGTGGGATCAGAGCAAAGTCCAGGTTTCCATCCCTACTTTCTTGCAGCACAAGAAGGGACACAAAGATAATAAACAAACCAATAATACAAATTGATGTCTCTTTACTATCCACAGGCTATCAAGTTTCACTTCCAACCCCACAAAAACAGATAAACAAAACCAACTAGCAAGGAGTGGAGATGAACTTATCCCCACCAGGAATCTCAAGATTGGTGACTTATAAATCCTTTGATATTCAAATCTAAAGCCAAAACGGCTTCTTTGGAATTCTAAGCATTGATTATTAACTTGCAGTTGCCTATTTCCCAATGGACAATAGGCTCTTAAATCGCTTAAGTGGCCTCTGGGTAGGAAGTGAGGAAGGGACACAATAGAGTGATTCTTCCTTATTAAACACCCCAATTGTTGGATATGAGCCCTTCCAGGCGTGCATTTGCATTTAGACAATGGACTCCCTTTTCTGAGTCCACACAGAGAAAAATTAGGTATCAGAAGCTGTTCAAAATGGGTGCAGATCATGGGGGAATTTTCCTTGGATAGTTCACCTCTAGATTACTGTTGGAACTGCTGCTGATGATGATGGCCCCAGAGAACAAGCAGTAGTTTGGTGTTAAATTGCAGCTTGAACCCATGGCAATAGTTTGCTCAGTTTCCCTTCCCTCCCCATACTTGGAAGGAAGTGCAGAAAATCTGAGTGTTGAACAGGGATAGGCAAAGCGGTGCCTTCCAGGTATTTTGGACTAGAATTCCCATTCATACCAGTCAACTTGGCCAATGGTAGAGAATTATGGAAGCTGTAATCCAGAAGCTTTGGAAGGGGACAGGTTACCTACCCATGCTGTAGAATTCACTGCACCCACTGACTTAAGTTCTTGGCCCTCAGGCTAAGTTCATGTTCCGATCTGCCTCTAGGATTTCCTGCATCCACCAGCAAGCTGGACTCAATGCTTCTGTGGGTGTTTCCAAAAGCTCCTAGCTCTACCAGTAAAAAGACATTGAGAGCTATGTCTTTCAACTGGATCTTTTCCAATCTTAGGAAGGTTCCTTTCCTCCTTAATTGATATTTTTGAGGGGAGGGATGTGGAGTGGCAAGAAAAAAGGCAGAATGAGCAGTAGGAAACATGAAAGGATTACAAACAGAAGATGCTGTTGTCCCCAGTGTAAAATTCTGTTCATGAGACACAGATATTTCACAATTAAAACCTTGGTTGCAAATCACCCTTGGAGCAGGGTGGGCAAGCATTCTACTTTACAGAGGACTGTTTCTTTTTGATGCTCTGTCAGAAGACAGTTCTCTGTTTTGAGGGCATCTCTGCCTGAAGGGCTGTCCAGCCTCAGTCTGGTTCAAAGAGACTGAACCAGGAGAAGGGAGAGCAGGAGGGGCCTTGATGTTGCCGGTTCTCACTGAGCATCT